AAGGTTTCATTTTAGAAAAAAGAACTTAAATCCATTAAAAGGAAAGAAACCGTTAATTAGTTCTGGCCATCCTACGAATTGTGCTCGTGCGCTTCAGAAACCACAAACGACAACAACGGCAATAATGAGAACAGCAAAAACAGCAGCGACTCTGGCGAACCTCAAAAAAGAGCAATACCACCCGTCCCATTATTATTATATTGTACCAGTGTGATATTCTTTCTCTTTTTTAAACAACAAAATATAATAAGAAGAACTTCTGCCTCATCTATCCGCACCGTTATCGTTGATAAACGGAAACACATAACTTGCATGTTATTGATTTACCACAAACACCTCTATAATTATATGACTTATGAAAAGCAGCAAGTGGAAAACAAATCCACAAAGGGATGTATATCTAGTGCTGTTATGCTTGCGAATGTTTCTTGGTTAGTTGCCAAGCGGAAAATTTTGAGCTTTACAGGTCCCCTTATGAAATTGTTTAAGAGGTTGAGGGCGAGTACGACTTACATATACATACGTATCTGACTTTCATTCTATGTTGTTATTGTTATCTAACTGATGTTTTTTCCTTTAAGCATGAACTGATTAACGATGTCCCAATATATTATATAGGTGCTACTGTCTGTCTATCTATCTACCTATATATACATAAACCTTTTAATGTGGAAGGTTGCTTAAAATCTCGCTCTATTACATAGCACTGTATGCACTCATAATTCAAATGATGCCTTATTTTGTCATTTCTGAATTGATTTGCCAAGAAACTGTTTGTCAGGTGGATTTTTGCACAATTGATCTGCCGTTTCATTTTTGTGTTTGAGGGCAGTACACACGCGAGAGTTCTCGTACTAGCAAATTTCCCATCTTTGGTCATTATTGCGGCAACGTTAAATCCGGTTTTGAAAACTGTCTACACTTAATGTTGCAGCTGACTCGATTCGTCTTAAAGTCGCACCCTAAAATAACTTTATTTCGAATTAATAAGTTATCATTATTCCAGAGGAAGTAAAATGCGCTCGCATAACGGGCCAAGTGATGCTTCTCACAGTAATTCTTCTGGCAATAATGAACGTCGTAAAGTTCATGGATTTGCCAAACTCTTTAAGAAGCGTAAGAATAAAAGGGAAGATGCAATGTTCGTCCCACCCGATGACTCTACTACACATAACTTTGGTAAGCTCCATCTGTCATTCACAAGAAAGTTGCCTTACAGGCTTTATTGAATATTGATTACAGCTGAATTTGAAATTACAGCAGTAGGCCTTTTTTGACTTTTTTTAATTGGGATAAGAACATTTATGACTTATGTGGTCTCCTGTTTTCTTGTACTTCCGATATTGTTGAAAGTGCAGGTTTTTTTATCAGGGCTTTGATGTTGAACGTTGTCACTTCTCAGTTTTGTATTTAAACTGTGCATGAGCAGTCTGTGCCAAGTTTTTTTTGTTTTGCCATCTCAGTCTCTCATAATAGTGAAATTTGATTTCTTAGAAGCAGCTTTTGAGCAGTGGTATTTTTTTTAACGCCACTCAGAAGTGTGGTACCAAATTTAAGTGCATTATTCACAACACTTGTTTTAAATTTCAGTGTTCTTAATCCTTCTGGAAGATGTACTTGCTAAAACACTATTAGCTACCTCAGTAAAGCACTAGTTTGATGTCAGAAAAGAAGACAAGCTCAAAATTGATTTGGCTTTTAATTTCGGATCAAAAACTAAACTTATCTAATCGTTTACTTAGGTGGTAGCACTGGAGTAAGGAATGGCAGGAAACCATTTAAAGTAGTGCCTTAAAGGAGCTAGTAAACTTCATGTTACTGTTAAACAGTAATAAAACTTGATGTTTAAAAACACTTGAAAGTGAGCTGATTGCAAGGACGAATGAATATTTGGCCATTCTGGTAAAATTTGCTAAAACGTTTTTAAATTAACTGATTTTGATCAAGGGAGTGTTGTATAGCTATCTTCTATTTTGTGATGCCTACTGCTTCTAGTTCCCTGTGGGGGCCATGTGTGAAAGAGCTTTTCTCTGTGTCCGAGACTTTTTTGTACTTCTTCAGACATTCAGCTTTAGAATCTACTTTTTGTCGTAAGAGGGATTTTAAAGAGTTATTTTGTTGTTAAATTATTGAGTGTTCATTTTCTTAGAATTACGGTGGCATTTTGTTGGAACCAAAGCTTTTTCACTAGTGGAATCTTTACGTTTTTTTGTTTATTTGGCTTTCCGGTTGTCAAAAAAACGATATTGTTTCGACCTTGTTAGTTTTTAGAGTCTAGTTACCTACGGAGACCATTTTTCTTTGTTTTTTCTTGGTTTTTAATACTCTCGCTCTGCTAGTGAACCTCATCTCTAAGTTCTCTGGCGCACTGCTTAAGTTGCCACTTTTGCTCACTATTTTATAAGTTTTCGGATATTAAGATGTAAAAAAAGAGGTAATTTCAAAAAGTTTTTATCTTGAAGCGCTAATACTTTTTTCCTCGTGAGCTTTGATTCTTATCGTTTTTTAAATTCTCTTATATATATA